TTCTCGGATAAAGCTGGCCTGTAGCAGCTTACTAGTTTCTTCTTCTACTGCTTTTGCTCTATCACCGCCTATCTTCCTTTTTTTCCTGAGCTATCGGCTTAGCCCCCTTATAAACCGATAAGTGATGACATAGAAATGTCGGGTCAATGTTAGGCATGTCCGAAGCTGCCCAAGCAAATAAGTCAACGTTATTCTGCAAATTTTTTTGAAAGAGTTGCTTTTCTTGTATAGTCAAACCGACCCCCAAGTAAGTAACTTGTTCTGGCTTTGATCCAAGTTGGAACGGCTGCTTGTTTTCACTAGGCTCAACCCGATACCCCTCATCCATTCTAGGGTCAAGTTCAACATCCAATTCCTTTCTGGACCGAGGGGATACAATGTTGACATCTCGACTACCTCCTTAGAAAGACTTAAGACGTAGGCTTGCGAAGTAACATTCTCTAGCTGTCTTCTGATCAGCGTGGACTATAACAATTCGGCCCCTTTCAGATGGAAACTTCATGGCCAAGTGCAGAGTAGATACTATAGCCTTTAACTTGTTTAGGGATGGTCTTCCGAGTAGTATATTGTACGAGGTATTTGCATGAACTACCAGATACGTGACCTTGATGCGCTTTCCTTCATGCTCTGATCCGAATGAGGTGTAAAGGTCAATACACCCACGAGTCTCCACCCGTTCTCCTGAAAAACCAACTAGGGGTTCACGATATTCTTTAAGTTTCTCTTCTGGTATTCTCAATTGCTTGAAAGTATTCCAGTAGAGGATGTCGGCTAACTCCCCTGATCTATGAGTGTTTTCCAGACAGTGCAGTTAAGAATGTCTACACTTATCACCATAGGGTCGTCTTGTATAGGATCTACTCCTTGAAAGTCTTCATCAGTAAATGTAATAGGGAGAATCTGAATCCTGCTACCGAGTGTGACATTGTTGACTGATCTGACTTGTCTCAAATGTCTCTTTCTGGCTGAATGGGTAGGTCCTCTGCCGGCAAACCTTCCAGCTATGGTATTAATGACTCTTTTAGGATACTTCTCACGTTCATTGTATCTTCTAGTTGGGGGTTCCCTGGACCGACTTCTCTGTCGTTCAAATCTGTCAGATCTCCTCGGTGGTTCAGGGTATCAGTCTCTTCCTCTGTTAGTTTGACCGATGAGATTTGTTTGTACAAAATTTTTTAAGTGCCCTTCCTTAACTAATTCCTCAATCTTATCTTTTAACGTTGTGCACTCTTCGGTGGTGTGACCCCTGTTCTGATGATAGTGGCAAGCCTTGCTTTTATCTGCCCGAGGAGGGGTGTTGGTGCGTCTAGGCATTCTCAATATTTCTGTGGCCAATGCCTGGTCAAGTACTCTGGATCGATTAGTGTTGAGCGTAGTGTAGGAAGGATATTTTGGTCCCTTGGTCGGTCTTTCAAGCTCATTTCTTCTCTTCTTATTTTCCTGCCAAGCCTTGAAAGTTTCTCTCCTGTCTGCGTTTTTGAATTAGAACCTTGGTCCATCCGCACCTGGTTTCGGTACTCAGACAATTCTTCCATCTGCATATACTTTGCAGCCCTACTTCTTAATTCGTCTAGGTCGACAAGTGGTTTTTTACAGATGCTATTAACAAAAAGTCCTGGTTTCAGAGCTGTTGTGAGGTGGTGCATAGCCACTGCTGGTTCCAAATTATGAATCGAAAGGGTCACTTTGCCAAAGCGTTCCATGAACGCTCTAAGTGACTCTCCTTTTTCTTGACGAATATTAACCAATGCCAGGGATGTAAAGGGATGTGGTCGGCTTGTGGCGAACTGTAAGTTGAACAGTCTTGCAAGTGTTGCAAAAGAGTCGATGGATGAAGGGGGAGCCGGGTAAACCAACTGAGTGCAGGCCCTCGGAGTGAGGTGGGAAAAATCCTACACCATAAAAAATCATTCTCGGTGTACAGACCGACTTGGGTTGTAAAGACATCCAAATGTTCCCCCGGATCAGATGTGGCATCATATTTATCTATTGTTAATCCTCTCCAATTATCGGGCAACTTAGCTTCCAGGATATGGTGAACAAAGGGGCTTCGATTCACGAGATCGTTTCAGTCATTTTTGGCTTCAGATTGATAAACCTGCTTTGACTTCTCTTGCAACGCTGAGGATTCCCCCTGATCCTGGAAGATGGGTGTAGTTTGGGAAGGGATGTGTGTTCTTATCTCTTCTCTCAAGTTAGCATTTTTCCTTCTCAGAGCCGAGAGCTCTAGTGCATCCTTCTCCCTCTCCTTCTTCATCTCCGTCATTTCTGCTTTAAGCTGCCTCAATACAGCTAAAACACTTTCGTCGGTTCCCCTTTGCATCACAACTTCAGGTGTTGGGTCATCTGGTGTAACCTCCTCCACATATTGCCGAGAGGCTCCTCCCTGTTGAGTATGTCCTTCCTTCTGACTTTCTTGTTAGTACCATGATTAATCTGAAAAATGAGGCTAATCGAGCCCCACGGTGGGCGCCAAAATGTTCCTGCTAGGGAAACACTGGTCTTCAGGTCTTTGCTCTAAAACGGTGACGTATTTCTAGTTGTCGCTGACGTGGGGAGGGTACCTGCAAAAGGCACTCTGATGCTGAAATCAGGATTCGGTTCTGAGTAATAAATGTTATTTAATAATGAAAGTCAATACTTTACCTGTACTTTTACCTTCCTTATATAGACATTGTAATAGGCTAATAAGCCTGCTAAGTCAGTCTTGATCTTTGGCCCTTTGATTAAAATAAATAATATCTTGATTATTACCTTAATTAGTTTAATTACCTTTTAATCCTGACAAAAGGTATCCGGCCACTTAGGCCGAATAGGTAGTCGATTTCCTTTTCCTACAACCAGGACCGAGTTATTCCTTATTCAGTACAAGTTTGGTTCAAACAAGGCTTACACAATTCATAACCTAGCCAATTTAATTACAGTCGACTATGATTTTAACGACATTCATTCACACCAGTACATCATTCAATGCTGTTAATTTTTACATTGGTGTTCGAAAATACGGGTGAGAATGGATTTAAAATTAATTAATTCATTTTAAATTTAATTATATGAATTAAATTTTAAAATAATTTATTTTTAAATTGATTTAAAATTGAGTTTAAAATTTAAATTTGATATAAAACTTGCTTTAAATCTGGTAAAATATACTCTAAATATTTTTATGTTATTGTATTAAAAATAATTAAATTTTATAGTAATTAATATAAAATTATATTTATATATGCTTTAGTCAGTTAATAATATAAATTTTTTATATTCATATTATATTAAAATTAAATTCATATTTTTTATTTGCATCATCTATTCACCAACAAATTAATTATAAGAATTTAATTTTAAAATAATCTATTTTATTTTTGAAAAATTAATTTGAAACTAATTTTAAAATTTAGATTTAGTTTAAAAATAATTTTAAATTTGGTATTGGTTGAAAAAAATTTTAAGTTTAATGTTTTAAATTTATTTATACATTAAATTAATTTTAAAATAAATTTTCTGTACTGCATTATTACATTAAATTAGTGTATTTTAAAATTATTTTAATAATCTTTATTAATTATATTATGCTTTATAAAAGATTTAATAAAATATTTATTATTTTTAATAAATTAAAATTTATAAAAATGAATAATAATAATAATATTTTGTTATAATATTTTAAAAAATTAAAAAATTAAATATAAATATAAATATAATAATAGTAATTAATTTAAAATATTTATTATATTTTTATATCTTTAATATAATAATTATATTTTAAAAAACTTTATTTTAAATATTTAATCTTAATTATAAGAATTAAAATTAATAAAAAATTTAGTAATAAAACACATTCATAAAAGGCACACACGTAAGTGTATTTAGAGGCGAACGTATTTGTGAAGACCAATGGATATAAAGTCCAAAGTAAATTTATATAGGAAGGCCAACGTATATGTACACACATATATCAAATAAATTCATGTTTTAATGCCTATTTATTATTTCATTTATAAAGTAAATATCAAATTAATCCGAATTTTAATGTTCATGTATTTAGTCCCAATAAATGTGCTTTGTATTAAAAAGTGAACATTTAATAGTATTGCACCTGGAACAAGTTATCCGGATTTAATAAATAATTAAAGGACAATAACGTATTTATCATATAAATAAATAAAAAAAAATTCACAGTAATATAAATACAAAATTTCTTACATTTTATTTAAATCTTTCATTTAACTTATATCTAACAATTAATAAAGAAATAAATTATAACTAATTAGATATAAGTTAAATAAAAAACTCAAATCGAATATAAAATTTTTTAAACTTACACTATTTTCAAAAGATTCTACTTCAAATAAAATATTAATCAATAATAATTAATTATAGAAGTAGAATTAAAGTGTGACTCCAATAAATTTTACTTGCAGGTGTTTAAATTTTAGAGAAAACGTAAATACAGAATTCTAAGTAATATTATTCAATTAAAACTGAAATTTTATCTAATAATGTAATACTAAGATATATTGTATCTTTTTGTATTTTTAAAATAATAAATATATTTCTTATGTAATGTTTTTTTATTTTGATAAATGTTAATAATATATTTACTCTTTAATATATTTTTAATAAATATTTAATTATTGATTAAAATTGACTACAAGCTACTAAATCATAAGTGAAAAAGTCTACTCAAATTTAATGTGAAAATCGCATATTTTTACGTTCATTAATTAACGTCTGGAAAAAAAAATATCTTTCCTTAACTTCGTTATACGGTGTTATTAAGAAATACTAGTAATACATTATTTATATATATTTTTTAACACATTTTTTATTATTGATTAAAATTTATTGAAAGTAAATACTTTTTTTCTGATAAACAATCTTCTATATAAACCTTAATCTCTTCCTCTACTCCATACAACTTCAACTTTATTTAAGTAATATATAGCATCCTTGATCCCAAATCTTCCTAAGTTGTTGTGAACACCACTATGTTACAAACGATGAACACAAAAGCAGTGCAAGTTATGGCATTGTTTCTCTTCCTTCTTGCATGGTTTCCTAGTGGCTCCTATGGCCAAGCGGGTGGGTGGCGCCCTGCACATGCCACATTCTATGGTGGTCCTGATGCTGCTGGCACAATGGGTAACTCAACTCTCACTTTCCATCATTTCAAAACTTTGCTAACAAATTTTAAGCTCTGAATACTCAAGCAAGTTCTAACAAAGTAAAATAAATTATCATTGTTCTAAAAAAACGTTCTAACAAACATTTCATGTATTTCAATTTTAACAAATCCAGCAAACAAGTGTCATAAGTACATAAATTAAGAAACGCTTAACACACTAATAAATATTTTCAACAACAAATTTTTATTAGTCTAAAATTTAAAATTATCTCTTTTTCTTTTTTTTTACTTTATTTTTAATGTCATTTTATACTAAGTAAAACTATTTCATAAAGCTAAATACACAAAATTTTCTTAATGAATCTTCAAGTCGGTCCCCAAATACACAAATATTTTAACTCTTAAAATTTTCAAAGCTCTTTATTAATTCTTAACTCTATAAAATTTTATATGGTTAATTAATAATGAAGTATACATGCATATACACAAGGGGGAGCATGCGGATATGGAAACTTGTTTGCCCAAGGGTATGGAAAAAACACAGCAGCGTTAAGCACTGCCCTTTACAACGGTGGGCTATCATGTGGTGCATGTTTCCAAGTTATGTGTCGCGATGACCCACAGTGGTGCATCCGTGGTGGAAGCGTCACAGTCACTGCAACAAACTATTGTCCTCCCAATGCCTCTCCCTCCAATGGCCCTGGTTGGTGCAACCCCCCTTTGCAACACTTCGATTTGTCAGAGCCAGCGTTCCTACAAATTGCTCAATACCGTGCTGGAATCGTTCCTGTCTACTTCAGAAGGTAATCGCTTTTCATTCAAATTACTCATTACATTTATGATTTTTGTTCTCTTCATTCATACATCTTAAGTTTCTCTAAGATGTACACATTCAGAATAAATGTGGTGCTCTTGTAACATGGTTAAAGGGTGACATGCGTGAAGAGCGGAGGAATAAGGTTCACAATAACAGGGAATAGATACTTCAATTTGGTGTTGGTAACAAATGTGGGAGGAGCAGGAGATGTAAAAGCATTGTCAGTGATGGTAGCTCCATCAAGTGAATGGATGCCAGCGAGAAGAAACTGGGGTCAGAATTGGCAGCTTAATGTGCCTCTGGTTGGTAGTAGCCTCTCTTTCATGGTCACAACCAGTGATGGTCGATCAGTAGCTAGTTACAATGTTATGCCTTCTAATTGGCAATTTGGTGTGACCTATGAAGGTCGTGCTCAATTTTAATTTTATTTTTGTTATTGTTATTGTGATATTAATTGCAAGTAATAAATGAAAAAATAATAACATTTAATAAGAAGAGCATGTGAACATTTATAATATATAAACAACATTTCCTCAATGTGATTTTTTATAAAATTAATTAATTAATTTATCGTAATCAATAATTTTTTTCATTCTATTTATAACAAATAAATAAAGAGTTTATTAATTGAAAAATAGCTATATATATATATATATATAATAATTTATAGTGTATTTTAGAATTATTTATAGCATTAAATAGTTAAATTAATAACATATTTTAAATGAGTGAATATATAATATATATACAAAGTAAATGACTTATTAACATAAATATCACAATAAATAATAATAATAATAATATAAAAAATAGCCACTAGTATTTTGAAAATTTATCTTTATTTATTATAATTTAGAAAAAAATACTAGCAGTCATTTCTTATAAATAAAATTGAAGGAAGTGGTTATTTATTTCATTTATTTTTGAAAAATAGCTATTTAAGATTGTGACACAAGAACTAAAAAAATTTATTTAAATATTTTATTTTTATTAAAAATATTATAAATTTTTCTATTATTCCTATTTTAGAACTTTTTTTATTAATAAATAAATGGTAAAAATGATTTTTGAAATTATAATTATGTTCAAGATAAAATTGAAAAAAATTAATTTTAAATTTTTTCTTTGCTAAAAGATTAATTTTAACTTTAAAATTATAAAATAACTATTATTTCATAATAAATAAAATTGACTGAAGAGATTATCTTTTAGATAAAGGGAGAGTACTATATATTTATATTATGCATTTAAAATTATTTATAATTTTAAATAATTAAATATATTTAATTATATGAATAATGAATGAGTATCTAGTTGATATAAATTTCATAATAAATAAATATATGAATTAATTTTACAATTAATACATTAAAAAAACTTATGTTAGTTATAATTAAAACCAAAAAATTAATAATATTATTAGAAAATAAAAAGAGTAAAAATAAATATTAATTAGTGTCTTATTAAAAAATTAAAAGTAAAAAAATATTATTAATATATTTTCATCTTGTGATTTATAATTTACTACAATATTTTTAATAAAAATTTATTTTGACATTTTAACTTGTATGCTAAAAACACTAATTAGTAAGATTCATAATAAAATTACAAGAATTTTATAATATTTCTATTACTTTATAAAGTAAGTAGTTAAAAAAAAGTATATTGGGTTTTGTTATAATTATTTTTACTTATCCTCTTTCTAGTTGAAATAAAAAAAATTTATTTATTATATTTTAATTTAAATTATAATGTAGGCATATAATTCTTAAAATGTGAAAATTTTAAGTTAATATCTTAAAATTACAAATAAGCATTATAATATATCAATTAAGAGGAGGATACCTCTAGGTTATGCAAAGTTTAGAAAACAAGCAGATGAGAAATTAAAATGAGCTAAAGAAAGTGTGAGGCTAGTGAAACATAAATGAACTTTAAAGAATGTCAAAGGAAAGTTAACAAGAGAATTGAGATACGATTTAAAATGCAAGTGATTTTTATAATAAATTACTAGTAATAACATTGGTATGTCATGAAATAATATAAAGTGAAAAGAATTGTAACGATAATACTGATGAAATTAAAAATGTTTATGTAACTTGAAAATAACAAATGGAGAAGTTAATTGAACAATTCCACATCAAGCACTTCAGCTTTTATATATTTTCATAGATAGACTATTTAATTGTAAAACCTAAAATTTTGAAAGTCTCAAGGAAGGGATTTAAGCACTTCAACTTGCGTGCAAACTCTTACGTTATACTTTTTTTTTGGACATAATTTACGTTTTTGGTCTAAAAACGTATAGTTTTGATGAATTTAGTTTTTGGTGCTTCAGTTTAGTTGCCTACTATATGCAAATCGTATTGGATTTATGAATTTTATTTATTTATTATTATTTTGTATTTTTTAGTAAATAATAATTTTAAACTACGTACATTCTTGAGACCTTATGAATTACGTTTTCGATTCAACAGTAATGGGATTATGTTTATTTAGATATGCTTCAGTTAATCACCGATTAACTCTTGAATCTTAAATATGTAATCTCTCCTTTGGGAAAAGAAATTTTAGAAGAAATCTTAAAACAAATTATGTATAATTATCTTAATTTTAAATTAAAAAAATATATATTCTCTTCAAAAACCTGCCTCCCTTTGTTTCAGCATTTATATACTCAAACATGCATAAATTTTAACTAATAAGGTGTAGGAAGAGAGAGAAATACGCAGTATATTTTGTCGACCCTACAAATATTGTAGGATCTACAAACACACAAAAAAAAATCTTTTCTATTGCAACATCCGTTACTAGAAAGGAGATTTTTCTGTTTAATACTCCATTGATCCCTGAAAACAAAATCCTCCATTCCCTCTTAGATCCTTGTATCCAAGCAAGAACTATATCAGTTGAGTCAAAGAAGACTTCACACATATTGTTGCGGAAGAGTAATGTTAGTTGCTGTGTGTGATGCATAAGCATATGCTAATAGATGCACAAATGGTTAGGGAATATCCCATAAATGAGAACATAGATGATAAGAATGTTCAGGACTTAAATAAACAACTTTTCCTACTTTCTGCTATCCTCTTTTTTTGTTATAGAGAAAGGGGCAGTGAAGGATTTTGTCAATTTGTATTCTCAGTCTATAAGGCTATAAACATTACTTAAATGGGGGCATGGTGGAAACAGGTTCTAACTCCTATGAAACATGGACATCACATGAGCAGCAGCAACGGAAACAGCATTTGCCACCACAATATGCATCCACTAATAATAAATCAACTAGCAGTAAAAGCTTCCTATTCAACTCAGGTCATCAAACCACAAAATGTTTTTACATGTGACAAGAAGGGCAAATTATAGGCACCTACAACACTGCTTTTCTTCTAACACAGGCCACCACTCCACATCCTCATACACAAACTTGGAAGGTGTTAAATCAGTAATTAAGCAATGAATATTTCACTCTCAAAACAATTTTCCCTTTTTCAACCCCAAGCTTTCCACCAGTAACTAACCAATGGCCAGGAGGATCTTGGGGTCCTTTGATCATCTCAGACAAATCAACATACTTCACCAACTTGTTCCCTGAGGTGTTGTTTTCTCTAGAACCAAGGGTGAAGTTATCTGGGTTGGAAGTGTTTCCAGGATTCAGAGTTTTTTGTGACTTGCTTGGGATTTGATCCCACAGTGATCTTCGAATCGTGCAGCCGGGTAACCTTGAATACAAGAGCTTCATGTACAAAACATTCCGTGATCCAAAATCCCACACTCCAAGCTGTGCTCCAGTAACTATGTAAACACCAGAGAAGTCTCCTATGAAGGTTTCAGGGTTCTCAATTGGTGCAGTGCTCACATGAGAAAAATTCTTCCACTTAACAGGCTCAAACCACCGGCTGTCTTGTTCCTCCGGTCCCTGCCACTTGGGAGCACCAATGGCTACATGGCTGTCCCAATATGGATGAAGAATCTTTGGAAGGGATACCAAGTGTTGAACATGAACACTAAGCCGATTCTGCTTGCTTCCCTCTAGACAAAGGCGTAAGCCAGTTACTGGCCTACGTCCAACTGTAATCTGCATTCAAAGAGAACCACCATGTTTAAAGTAAAATTGATTAGATATATGGCACCTTTATCTACACTTTAATGGGTTCGCATGTAACCCATGTAGCAATAGTTATATAAATTTAGTCACCAAACAACAATGTGACTAAACTTATTGAATACGTAGAAAAATTTATCTGGAAGCTTTCTTTTTCAAGCATAAATGCAACTGGAAACAGGTTAGCATACTCTGATACTGTTTCTTTAGTAAAATATTTCACAAAAGGGATAACAATATTATGTTGACACACGGTGGGAAATCATGCTTTAAGGCAAACATTCTCATTATGCAATCTTCACAAAAAGGATATTAACCGAAGAAGAAATAATAAAAGGTTATATGACAACATCAATAGTTAGTTTTTCATAATGTCTTTAAAGCCAATGCTCTCACTTAAAGACACGCTCCCTGTCTCCCACCCCTATTTCCAAACTAGACCATGAGACTCTTGTGAACTATATATTAGGCAAAAGAAAGTCTTGAATTACTTTAACATATTATAATAGGAGAAAAAAAAAATTTGTTAGATCGCTAGTTCTTTTCTATCAAGGCTTGACGACAGCATATAGATGCAGCACCAATTTCAACAACTAAAGGCATCATGTTCAAAAAAGGATGACAAAATCACATTAATATAAGTACTAACACCTATACATCCAAATGAACACATTAGAATTTAGAAATAGAAATAATTTCATTCAGATATATAAATACTTAAAAATGAAAGGTTCAATTTATATCTTGCTCAGAAACTCAAAGTAACAAACCAAATGGCCCCACCCCAGACAAGAAAAGCTCAAAAACAAAAAAAGTAGACTGCCCAATGTACCCACAAACAGGAAATAAAGTACATCTCTTTAGAGGAATCATTGACACTGGATAAGAACTTTCAAAGTGAAGGAAAATGCCACAAATGATCTTTACCTGTTCTTGACTGACATAAAGTTTCTGGCCCATTATGCTGAATTGTAAAGATGGGCACACAGGTTCCTTCCTTTGTTGACCAGGAATCCTGTCCTGTAAAGGAGCCCAAACACGAGGAATTTGAAACTCTAGAAAATACCTAAGTTCTTCAATTGGTGGTTTATCTGAGTGCAAATTTCAGGAAAAAGGAAAAAAGAAATGTGCAACCGATATTAGATTATACACCAAAAAGCCAATTAGAAAAAATTCTATATAATCAAGAATAAAGGATAAATTGACTTACATTCAAGATAAAGACCAATGGCCCGAGTCAAATGCTCCTTGCCAGGTATTTCATCAAGCAGATCAGTTATAGGACAGAAAGTCATCTCAATAATATCCGGGGAGGACTTGATGGTTTTTAACCATTTACTGTGATTTTGTTCCAAATCATCTCCTCCTCTTCTTCTAAAAATGACTGTGACATCCTGAACATTAAGTACTCAAAGAAGTTAAGAGAAAAAAGAAAAGTTGATGAAAACTTTTTTGCTAGATATAATTGGCAGACATTCAACAGATCAGCAGCAACTAACAATCAATAACCACAAAAGACACATAAGTATCATTCTTAATAACAAGTATGAATTCTTCCCAGCACAGCTGCATGCTGATGCATATATCTTTATCCAGAGTTCAAGTGCTCAATAACACACTATGTGATGCAGGTCATATTCCAAAATATCAAGGAAAGGGGAAGTAATAAAGGGAAGAAAAAGACAACCTAAAGGCTTTATATAGGACCAAATTCCAAAAAATTACATGGAAAAACAAGTTGCACCAAATCAGTAACAGATTTGTCACTCATGGCCATTCATAGCTAAAAATGATTGGGCATTGATGGGGAAAGAGATGTCCATATTACCAGTGCCTTGGCCAGTGCCTTGGTTCTAAATTACCGACATTTTATCAACATTCATCAGTGTATTAATTTTAGCATTGCTGTGCACACCAAAACAAAGAAGGATTTTCAGATTAAAGTTTTAAAGCCATCAAATGAATAAAATGAAGGAAACTACTTCAATAAGATAAATGGCAGACAGAGTCGCCTAGGATTCTGTCGTGTACTGGTTTGCAGCCTAATAAGAAAGGCCTTAAAGCCCAATGAGGAGAAAGCTTCAAAGGTAACTACTCCCAATCACAATTAGAGATTACCATTTCTCTCAGTTACTCATTCGGACCATAAAAATACTAAAACTCCCCTTACAAAGGTATGCTAATTCTCTTTTTCTAACCCTTCTTCCTACCATTTCTCTTTATGCTCAATAGGACTATTAATTGAAAATAGTTTCTCCTGTATACAAACTTAACAAAGTCCCTCCTTACTTGGGCAATGGAGCGTGTCATGAGAGACTCCAATCTACATATTTATAGTAGATGTCCAAGCATTCCAAGAATTAAGACTTTGGAAAGAAGACCAAGACTGAGGGACTAGAGCTCAATCCATCTCAGTACAACAAACCTCATTAAATTTTCTTACACATTCTCAAATCTTAAGAACATGAGGGAAAATAGATCACAAGTGTAGGTAGGAAATAAGTAAAATGTCTATTACCTTGGAAGCACTGATACTTTAAAATGTCTTTCATACTGGTGACACATATGTAACTGTATGATACTTTACTCGATCAACATCAAATACTGCTACTGACAATTTCTAGTATTCAATTGTCATCAATGACAAATGTTGAAAATTAAAACCCTCATCTTCTATTTCCCCCCACAGCCAAGTGTACGGCTGTCCATTTTTTTGCTAGATATCTTGTGTAATGTGAGTGTGTATAAAATGTTCTGTGAAAAGATGCACACAAATTTTTACATATAAGTAATGTCAGATTATGCTATAGTCACATCCTAATTTTTTATGAGATGACATATCCTTGTGCCATACTGGTATTATATCCAATACTGTACCTGTAACTGTACAAGCATTGCAGCTATTAACAAGCCAATGTTAGGAGCTTTCAACTGTTTATGCCAGTACAAATACCAAGGAATGCATAAAGGGATGTGGAAATTGAAAATCAGGTTAATTTGTTAGATGTAGAAATCATCATGTTTTATGCATACCGGTAGGATATATTCATAAAATTAAAACATATATTCATACCTCTTTCCCAGTAGGATATGTTGCACTCGTGGGTTGAGGGTAAATCCCTTGACTATTGAATGAAAAGGGATCAACACCCTGCAAAATATATAATTAAAATAATCAAGAATTATACATATTGCTATCATGAATCTGAATCAAATAAATTTAAGCAAGAAAAGTGGAGTTGAAGTGAACTAGCCTTATCCTTGGACTTTGTTTGACCTGAACTTGTATGGCTATTGATGTCCGAGAACCTCTGATTTCCAATATCCTCAATATAGTTTTTAATCTCCAACTTTGACAAAGGAGAAGTATGGTGTTGTTTAACATAAATAACATCTTTACCACCAATAGTTATTGACGTAATGACATGTGTCCCAAAATTTTCAATAAAACTGTCAAAATGTAATTAAAAGTCAGGAACAATCTGAAGATCTCTTTGTTAAAGCATCATATAAATAACTTGTATAAACATACCTTGCCAAGGACAGTGGGTCCCAATTGACTGGTACAGCCTTTTTGACATTTTCTTGCAAGATCAAGCGGGATTTTTTAAGCTGAACCTTTGCGAGGGGAATATAAAACCCATCTGAAGACAAGGTTTTTGTGGCTGCAGCATCAACATCTTTTGAACCAGTAAAGCTAAATGCAGAGTTAAAGCTCCCAAGAGGAAAGCTCCCTGAGATATTTGCCCTTTCGTTAAAGTAGTCCACCATCTGCAATCACAACAGAACTATCATAAACAATGGCTAGTTGGGTGGCCAAGGACACTGTTACAACATCTGCCAACAGTCAAATATGACTTTTTTTTCAATACAGTGCAATTTGAAATTATAATATAGTTTGTTTGTCTCAAAAACTTAATGCATGCAAAATATTAGGGATCAAACTACATGCTATGAAAGCAATCTACAAAAATAATAGATAGCATAAAAGATAACTGTTAATAGTACATATGATTTGGAAATTTCTCCCATACAAGAAAATCATCTAAGGTGGAAAGGAACCATTCTCTGCCAATGCCAATATCATGGTATTGTTGTCCATGCACAGGTTTGCACAAGATATCTAGCATAAGATAGGTCCACCCTTAATTATTTTAGTTTAAGCTACATGCCAATATATTTGAAAGAGCCACTATTTAATCATCCCCAACCTTATAAAAACCATATAACACGTTACACACTATGCTAAGGAACAAACAAAACCATCCTCAAGAATATCACTTTGAGGGTTTTTACAGAACCATTACCAGCAGTCATTCCACACCACAATTTCATTACACACAACCCAAAGAAGTGTCAAGTTCACCAAACAACACACAGATATGCACTCTATATCGAAGAACCATAATTAAACATAACTGAACAATATACACGCTAAATTACATTGAAGAACCAATTTTCAGCAAGAACATTTTCACAAAACAAGAAAAAAAAAAATTCTAAAGAGAAAATTTTCCACCGTGAAATTCACCTCTTGGAAACTTCGGACTCCAGAACTCTGACGCAGCACGGGCTCCGGAAAGCTTCCAATGTCCCAGGAAACGGTGGGAACAACCACATCATCATGCAAACACAGGTTCCTGTGGTGTTCTTCATCAATCTCAACTACCCTAGACCCTGAAACTCCTTTACAATAAAGCAACCTCGTATCGAAGTTCACATCAAAACCCCTCCCTAATGCTTGCAAAGCGTTTGTAGCAGTGTGCAACGCTGCTACATGCTCCCCCATAGCTCATCAAAACTCGTTTAGCCACCTCAAAAGACTCTTCTTTTACGCAATCAGACGAAAACCCAATTTTGAATTGAACTAGAAGGTGAATTACCTCAGCAATCGAAGCGAATTAAAACGACCCACATGCACAAATTCCACGAAACCCACAAAAAAGAACGCGATTTTAACTCTTTAGCTACGAGGGTATGTGACTCATTGAAGGGTCATGATCAAACCCTTCTCTTCACAATTTCTCTTTCTTCTGCGTTCTCAACCAGTTGACCCAGTAAAAATCATGATGTGCAAGAACAACCCCAATCGTTTGAAGGTGGAATGGATCTAAGAGCGATGAAGATTTAGATTAAAATGCAAAATCTGGTATGGTTTGGGTGTTAGCTTCATCTTCTGGTGCCTGCCGCTGATTTTCTCTCTCTAAAGAGTTTCTCTCTGTAAAACAAGAGACTCTCTCTCTACATTGACATTATCGTACAGTGTAGTTTTCTTTTCTTTGTTTGTTTCTAGTTTTCTACCTTTGGAGACTATTGTTTTGTCTCTGCGAAGAAGCATTGACTTGATTTTCAGTCATATGTATTTACTTTTCATCGAAACGTTTGCGTGTTATTTTGCCTTACATCTTGACCGTCCATTCCCGGTCCAAACATGTGCGTCCAAGTTTGAAGTCATGGACTCTCTTTAAGATTCCCACTTTTCGTTTTAGTCCTCTAAATTCTAAATATTTAGGATTTTTTTTTACCGCATAATACAATTTAAAAAACGATTTCTTTAAAAATTATTTCCTTAACAAGTGTTTTTTTTTCCCATATAAAAAATCAAACAGTATTTTGGACCTGCACGATCAATACTAATTTGTTTTATTTTTTAAATTAATTAATTAAATAAACATAAATATCGAGTAAAATAAAAGCAATAATTAATTAAATAATTTTTAAAATAAGCCTCACATAAATTTAGACGATACTTGTCATATTTTTTTTGGAATATTAATTTAAAATTAAAAATACTAATTTAAGATGGATGGCCAAAAAAAAAAAAATACGTCTCAATATAAAAACGTATTTATATATCACTCTAAGAGTCTTTCTTTCTCTTTTTACTTTTTTCTTCATTCATTTTTGTTGGCGCCTAAGCTTTTATCATTATAGGTTACTTTGAGTAATTTTGGTTGTTTTTGTGCATTATGTGTAATATTGAGAGAGAAATTATCTAGTAATATTTATTTTATAAATTATTTAACTTTTGTTTGATTTATGATAATTAAATAACAAGTTTACATATTATTATTTTAGGTATTGGTGGTAAACTGGAATTATAATTTTGTAGTTACTTAAAGTTAATGAAGAATTTATATGAATTATCTTGTATTTTTTATAATTTTTAATATATAATATTTATTTGATAATTTTAAATAAGAATTAGTTGAATTTGTGATTTATTATTAATTTTAGTAGTTATATGTTAGAATAAGTTATTTATGAAAAATATTTGACTCCTTAGAGTGAAATTGAATAAGTAGTTAATAGCAAAAAAAAAAAAAACAAACAAAAAAAATTGAATAAGTAGTTATTTTTGAAAAAAAAAAGGTAATTACAGTAAATTTAAAAATTATTTATTTATCCAAAAAAATTAATTTAATTCTTGTTAATGATAGTAAAATTTTAGTGATATTAAATTATTTTAAATATAGGTGAATTAAGTTTAGTAGGTTTTAATTTATAATATTTGTAAGTGACATAAATTTGAAATAAATATATTAATGTTTAAGAAATTCTAATTTATAATTTTGATGTTTTTTATTACAAAATGTTTAATAGTGATTACATCTTCTCTCACTTAAACAATTGTCCAACAATAATGCAATGCTTATGGACTAATTCATGATTCAGCAGAACAACATGGTTTGGTCTTATTTGAGAAACAAGAAGAGTCAAAACACCAAGTTGATCGATGAATGAACAACGTTCATCTAATCCACAACCTTTGCCTCTCCCATCTCTAGAGATAGAAACAGTCTAAGTCAGGCCAGACTTTATTCTAAACAAGCCGGACCTGTAACATAATTATTAAGCCTGAGGCTGATCTGTTACCTGTTAAAGGTTTTATTTTAGGCTTGACCTGACCTGTTTAAGTGACCTGGCCTGGCTTGAAACCTGTTAACAAAGTCTGTTACAAAAAATATATATATATTAATAAAAATATAAATATTTTATTATCAAATTAGTTTATACATTTTTTTAATTTCTATTTATGTTCTTAATAATTATTAAATAATTATAATAATATTTATATAATTTTATAAATAATTTTTAAAATATTATTTAAGTATTAATTATAAATATTTTCTATTAATAAAATTTTTATTTATATTTTTCTTGATTTATTTTTTAAAATTATATAAATAGTAAATATTTTAGTTTTATTTTAGAAACATATTTTGTTTATTTAAAGACATCTTATATTCAACAAATAAAATCATAGTAAATACATAAAATTAATAAAAAATAATAACATCTACACAATTTGTTGAATCAATTAAAAGAAAATTATTATATTTAAAAAAAATTTAAACTTAATGCAATATATATATATATATATATATATAATGACAATAATAATAATTATTAAATTAAAAAAATAATTACAAAAAATAACACTTACAAAAATTTTTGAATCAGCTAAAAAAATTATTATATTTTAAAAAATAAATAAATATCGTCATTATAAAAATTGTAAATGATAAATACTTATATTATAAAATTCATAGATGCAGAAAAATAACAAATGAGCATAGGAAGAATTATTAAATTTTATATTTAAATTAAAATAACTTATATTTTTAAATTTTTATCTTAATTAAAAAATATGTGATAAAACTTAATATAAAAATTTAAACTTAATGTACTATATATATATATATATATATATATATATATATATATATATATAATAATAACTATTAAATTAAAAAAATAATTACAAAATATTTAATTTTATTTGTTTCATTAATTTATTATTTTAAATTAACAAATAAATATAAAATTAACTACACTATAATATTAATGTAATATAAAAAATATTACTGATACAATAAATTAAAACACATACTTATATATTACATATAAATTGATAAATTAATTAATAATTTAATTAAAACATGTGCAAGTTACAAAAATATATGTTATTATATAATTTATTTATAATTATATTATTTGTTACATGGTTTGGTTATATATATATATATATATATATATATATTATAATAAGTTTTTTATTTTATTTTGTTATCATTTTTTTTTATAAATTTTTACTTTCAAATAAAATATAATTCATATTTAAGTAATTTCTATTTATTATAAATAAAAATAATTATAACATAATATATTAATATAATAATTAAATTAATAATAATAAAATTAAAAGTATAAAAAATATGTTAATATGATTTTATTATTTTATTTTTAAATTTTATTTTGTTTAGTTTTTATTACGTCTTAATCTTGTTTAAAGATTTAACTATTTTTTAAATTGTTTAAATATAATAATTTATTATTAAATAAATTTATTATTTAAAAAGTGTAATCATGTATAAATATTTTTAATTTTTAATAGAATATAATTTTTATTTATTATAATTATAAATAAATAAAATTATAACATAATATATTAATTTAATAATAATAGAATTAAGAATATAAAAAATATATTATTAAATAATTTTATTATTTAAATATATTTTGATAGCTCAAACCTTAAAAAAAAAACTGAGACTGATTTATTTATTAAAAAATTCAGGGCAGTTTACATGTCTCTGAGTGGTGCTTTGAAGGCTTCAGGGATGGCTAGTGGTCTTCTACATGCTTCTGGACCTTTGCCACTTCCACCAACTGGACTACTTAGAAACTTTCCATATGAGGAAATTGCTACTGCTTGCCACAACTTCTCTTCAAATAGATGCATGTCAGAATGTCTTTCTTGGACAATATATAAAGCTTCATTTGGTGATGATGCTTCGAGTTCAAAGAAGTTTGAAGCCACTGTGACGCGCCTTCAGTCGTCAACTCAGGTAATGTTCTCCATTCTGCATTATCACTTTCATCTCTTTGTATCCTCATACCTAGTAATAGTAAATGATGACTGGTCATACTAATAGCTGCTGCTTCCTTACCAAATAGGGAGAAATGATGCCTTCTTATCTTTGAATCGCTAGATTTCAATATTTCTTGTACTTTTTTTTTTCTTTTTTCCATGAGATATGTCAATATGTTATACCTTCTGAATTTCCCAATATACACTTAAGTGAATTTAGGTGTTTAAGAGAGGCATTTAAGATTTTAGGTTTGTTGATTGTTGTCATCCAACTTGCTAGTTAACAGCAGCCTCTAAACCTTATATTTCTCTGTCCTTCATATTCTGTTATTTCTTGATGCATATTTGAATGTTTTCAAACCATATTGGAATAAAATGCTGGAAATTGTTAAGAATTGCATTGATTCTGGTTCAAATGTGAATGTGAATAATTGTTAGCCTTGTGTTGAGAGGAATATGATTTTTCTCCCATGGCAGAAGTAGAAAGCAGCTTAGAACTTTCTGACATGGTCAACATGTATGTTATGTCTCTTGCTGGGCTTGAAGGAATTCATAAATGAGGTTAATACTCTTGCATCTTTTCAACATGCAAACCTCTGTAAATTGCTCGGATTTCATGCACGTGATGGCTCTGAACCACGGATGTTGGTTTATGAGAGAGGCTATACCATGGAAGCTTGGACCGCCTGTTGTTTTGGGAGATCTGATGGCCCTTCAATTGATTGGAACACATGAATGAAAATTGCCATATGCGCTGCACAAGGTCTTACTTTCTTGCATGAAGAAGGGCCTTTCCAGGTAATGAACTCTCTCTTATTAGCTTAGTTTGGTGTAAAATGTATGTTGAATTTTTTAGGTTCCTTTAGTAGACTAAAAATTATAAAAATGGTACATACATTTCTATCTTTGCTGATGCACATCTTTATCTCTTGCAGGCAATGTATAATGAATTTTCAGCAGCCAACATACAGATTGACAAAGATTTCAGTGCAAAGCTTTCTGGATACGGTTGCGCTGGACATGTTCCTGAAGAAGAGATTTCAAGCAATTCATCTGTATGTTCATTTACTCAAAACTGTTGTGTTATAAATTATCCAATTATTCTACCTGTATCTTATTTGGGATGTATGATTATTTCGCAAGTCTTGTTCTTAATTCATTCTCTTCTTCAATTTATTATTATACAGGCTGTTGGAAACCTATCAGTGGAGACATTGGAAAGAGGAATTCTTACTCCAAAAAGCAATCTATGGAGTTTTGGGATTACCCTTTTGGAGCTACTTACTGGCAGAAAGAATCTTGATAGCCATCACCTCAAGGAAGAGAGGAACTTAGTCAAGTGGAGCCGGCCTTTCCTGGCTGACGATTTTCGACTGTCACTGATTATGGATCCTAAACTTAAAGGTCGTTTTCCTACCAAAGCAGCGAGAGCAGTAGCTGACATTGCACAAAGAT